ACTCGACACAAGAGGAAAGACTAACTAACTAACTAACTAAGAGAGAGATCAATCGTCAGTTGCCGTCTTCACATTGAAGGTTGGCTGCAATGGATCTCCAGTACGCGGTGTCTCTTGACTTGGTTGTACATTTTCTCACACTCTTGTTTGTCCATCTCTTGATGTTCTCCTCCAGTTTTTATCATTGTCTACCTTTTGCCTTTGACTTTTTCCTCCAGTATAGTTTTTAAAAGCATATTGTCTTTTAATGTAGCCAGAATATTTCAGTTGTCTCATTTTTCTTTATTTATGTCAGTAATTTCTTCTGTATACCCACATCTCCAGAGACTCAGTTCGATTTTCTAGTTGCTTGTTCATTGTCAAAATTTCTGCACCATACAGCAGAGTTGAGTTTATATAACAGTTGATCATTCTCAGTTTTAATTTGTTGTTTATCTTTTTTGATGTCAGTAATTTTCTCATGAAGATAGTTTTAGCCATTTCTATTCTTGTTTTTTTTTTTTTTTTTTTTTAAATATATATTTCTGTTTTACTTCTGCAATTGTCTCTTACTACATGTAGAAGATTGGAGAAACTTGTTATTACATTCCTCCGTTTACTGTTGGTTGCTCTTCTCGATGATAACATTTTTATTGGCTGTTAATTTCTAAACCATACTATGCACTCCGCCTGTTGACTTGATCCCTTAGGTCTTGTAATTCCTGCTGGCTTTCTGCTTGTAACACTGTGTCATCAACTTTCTGCTTGTAACACTGTGTCGTCAACTTTTCTCACATTGTTTATTATTCTTCCAATAATATTCAGTGCTTACAATTCTCCAACTTGTTTAAAAATGTTTTCTTTATATAAGTTTAAAAACTTGTGAAAAACATACTCCCATTTTTTTTTAACCTTAATCTGTGGTGAGGCATTATTGTTATCTAACCGTTGCTAATTGTTCCTAGTAAAGCTTACTAACAGTTCTATCCTTTCCCACTAATCCTTTATTTAGGAGACCTACAATAAGCTTTTCATGTTGCACCAGTCTAAAGCCTTCTTATAATCTATAAAACATGCATAAATACTTTTCTGAACTTCTATATTTTTCAGTCAGTATCTTTGAACACAAACAGTTTCTTGAGGTCTTAGAGATGTGGTTTTACAGAAAAAAGCTTAAAATACCTTGGATTGCCAAAAAGAGCAACCAAGAGGTTTTAAAAGAGACTAAAGCCCGAAGACAACTTATCAGAGATATCAGAAGGAGAGTCATTATTTTTCGTCCATGTTATGAGAAAAGGGAAAATGTGACATGTTGTGACCACTGAAAAAATCTGTGAAAGGAGGGGTAGAAGAATACAACGAAGGAAGATTCTTTACAGTCTTGGTTGCATGGCATGGAGGTGTGTCAGCACACAAACTGATACATGCTGCAGGAGATTGCAGATTCAAGAGAGGCATGATCACCCATGCCAGTCGGCAAGGCACCTAATGATGATGGTGATCTTTGAACAAAACTGATAGAAAAAAAAAAAGACAAGAGATACAAATATGGGCTCTACTGGCAAATTTGGCCGGTAAGCTGGACTGCTTCGGCCGGCTTAGCGGGGATTCCTGGGAGTTATGTCCCTTCGCGTCCCTTCGCCAAACTCAAAACAAGTCGCGGAAAAGTCACAAATCAAATGACATACTTATCTATCATCATCCGGGTGCGTGTAGGGCTGCGTAGAGTGGCGTCTAGGGTTACCTATCATCATACGGTTGCGCGTAGGGCTGCGTAGGGTGTCTATCATCATCATACGGTTGCGTGTAGGGATGCGTAGGGTGTCTATCATCATCATCATCATACGGTTGCGTGTAGGGTTGCGTAGGGTTTGGGTTAGCAGTAGGGTTAGGGGTAGGGGTAGGGTTAGGGTTAGATGATGTGAAAATATTCACGTAGGAGGTGGAAATACTGGCCGACAATCTGATGCTTGTGGGAGTGGCGCCACTGGAAGTGTGCCAAATATGACGGCAATAGCGCGCGGTGGCTGGTGCCCCAATCGGTGGCGGCGAATTGTCCGTGTCAGTAGCATTCACCGTCCGTCGACTGTTTGCACGTGCATGCGACTGTGCGCGATTGTAGGGAACTACAGCGTCACAATTGTCACATCTAACGCTACACCTAACCCTAACCCCTAAACCCTACACCCTAAACCCTAACCCTAAACGCTAACCCTAACCCCTAACCCTACCCCTTATCTATCTTACGCAAACAACCAACCCTACAAGCAATAAACAGCCCTACACGCAACCGTAGGACGATGATAGACGCCCTACACGCACCTGGATGATGATAGGTAAGTATGCCGTTTGATTCGTGACTTTTTCCGCGAATTGTTTTGAGTTGTTTTGAGTTTGGCCAAGGGACATAACTCCCAGGAAGCCCCGCTAAGCCGGCCGAAGCAGTCCAGCTTACCGGCCAAATTTGCCAGTAGAGCCCAAATATGTGCTGTAAAGTAAGGCTGTACCGAATATTCGCTTCATATTCACTTCGGGGCTGAATAGTGGACCTATTGACTATTCGGTATTCGGCCGAATAGTTGCGGTCGGGCCAAATACAAATAGTGGTTACCTTGCACCCGCTTCTGCATACACATGGAACGATTGGTTTTTTTGAAAGCTAATGCAGCTTTCATTCATTAAAGCTAGTTGTCAGTGACAATTTCCAAGTTTAGTTAGTTGTTATAATACTTAGGATTCTTTCATTCCTAGTTATTAGTTACCACAGACTGACTGAAGGATGCAAAACATAAAGTGTTTTTAAATGTTAACTATTCTGTACGAATACTAACTAGACATGGAAAGAATATAAACTCTGGCCACATCCAAGTCGATAATATAAAAATCAAACGAACAGAAACATATAAGTACTTGGGTGCAAACTTCAACTGCTCCAACATGCTGAGAGAAGAAATACAATCTATAAATAAATTATTCTGTGCTCTTCAACATCTGCTAAAGTCAAAGTGTCTGTCTCGCAACACCAAGATCAAAATATATAAAACATTGGAGCAGAAATGAAAAGATGAGACCTTATTACAGGTTTTCAAAAACAGTCTGCAGCAGTAAACCTCAAGGGCTCAGAATGCTAAAGAAGAAGATGACTATTCTGTGCTACATTATGTGAAGTAAAACTTCAGCGTACATTTGACATTATGAATGTTTTTTTTTTTTTTTTTTAATATATTTCATTCACTATTCGTATTTGGCCGAATAGTGAAAAACACTATTGGGTACAGCCCTACTGTAAAGATGTCAAGTTCTCATGGATGGGGCTGGACAAGAGCACTGAGCGGATCTATGAAATGGAGGGCTTATGTAAGATTGCAGATCATGAGCATCTGTGGCGGGGGTCATGGTGATCATTTCGACTGTGATAGCTCTTATGTTTGACATCATGACATAGAAGTTTTCTGTGTCAGAAATGATTGAAAGTACGAGACAGAAGCTTGTGGATACATGTGAATATCAACACTACATTAAAAGCTCCTATGTTGCAGTATATTTTATTTCTTCAGATCTATTGCTGTTCTGAGAGGCATTTTATACTAAGAGCCATGCCCCGAAAAGCTGCCACCGCTGCTGCTGGTAAATATCTATGTTACCCCCTTTTTCTTGTTTTTCCTTCTCAGTAGTTGCTTATTTGTAACCTCTTGTTTATTGGCACGTTTACAGGGTTTGTAGCGTTTCCAAGGTTTGCAGCGTGCTGTGAAACCTTGGGAACTGCAAAATCCCTCTCCAAGGCCTTCAAAATTACTCAGGATTTTAAGGCTGTTATCCTTCTCAGTGTGCTTCTCTGTAATCCCTTGAAATCACTAATGATTGCTCATAATCTATTGAATATGTTAGTGAACTTTAAATGGATTAAGATGTTTGCTACCATGATAATAGCCTGGGCTCAATACCTGTCATGATTACTTTTGTCAGTACAATAAGTAAAGCAAATGAAAGATCCATTTGATCATTGGCAGACCAGTTAGCGCTTCATGGGTGATGTGATCTCACAAAGAGAATATTCTGTTGAAAACATTGATTCTTACTGCAGGTTACGATCTTTATTTTTGCCCAAACAGAAAGCAACTTCTCTGACCCTACCCACAATTTGAACCCAGGACTCTTAATTGATAACTTAGCATTACAACTGCTCTGCCAGGCGCAGATTGAGTTGATATACTATGACAGTCTGTAACTTTCGGAAATTGAGTCCTGTTCCCTCTTCCCCCACCCCCCTTTTTTTGTTTTCCTTTCTCTCTCTCTCTCTCTCCTCTTATTCTGTATTACTCTTCATATTTATATATAAGAAAGCAGAATGATGCACCTTGTAACTAGAGGGTCTGGCCAGCTAGCTTACTACACTCAGGGGAAAGGCAATACGGACAGATAACAACAGATACCATTAGTATTGGAACTCTAAGCTGGCTGCTGAAGATGACAGCTAGCATGGGAATGCCCAGAGCGCTGTGATGTCAATTCTTTACTCAATTCAACATATATGCTACCTGTGTGGGTGCAGGGGCCCCATAGTGGGAAAAACAACTGCCTCCCCAACAAGCATGTCGTAATAGTCGACAAACTGGGGGATTCCTTTGAAGTTGCAGAGCATCTGCCAGAGAAGCAAGGATCCAACAGTCTGTGTACAAATAGGTCAGATAAGTAAAACAGATGTACATGACAGATTCTGGAACAAGACTAAAGTTCAGAAATGAACAAACAGCCAGAACTTTCTGCCGGAGTTTACAGCCGGTGAATGCAAAGAAGAAGATACATGTGTGTGTGTGTTTGTAACTATAAAGATCATTATAAAGAAATGGTCCAGGGCACAAATATGCCTCAAGATTCAATGTGGGTCAGGTTTTTCAAGTGATAATGTTAAACGATACAGGGAGATGCCCTGCAGTTTTGTAATACATATTTATACTAAGTCCAGTTGATTTATGTAAGAAGAAAAAAGTTTTTTTTTTTTTTTTAAATATAGGAGCCAGAAAAATAGCTGCTGCTCCAAAGTCTCGCAAATTGGCAGAAAAGTTCCCTCCTGGCACAGTCCTGAAAGATTTGAGCAAGAGAGAATGGAAGCTTGGCAGTGTTATTGGACAAGGAGGATTTGGGCTCATTTACTTAGGTAAAGAATTGTTTCATAAAATTTTTTTTTTATTTTAATGGCAAGTTTTTAACACTTTGCAGATTTATCGCCGGCGAATAAATGTATCCCAAATGGACGAATCGCCAATATATTGGCATATGATAGAGACACTCTAATTTTGTTCCTTTTGTGGGGAAAACGAACTTTAATTAACAAGTTTTTGAACAATTAGGATTAACAACAGAAAGTCCTTTCGTTTGCGATGTTCATCGTGGTCAGTGCATTATTTTCTGATTTAAAAAAATTAATTTGGTGGGATACAATTTTTACGTTAATTTTCTCTACTAAATGATTAGGGAAAAATTATAGAATTGTTCATGCTGCTCTGTCATTGATGAATCTCTGCCAGATGGGGACAACAGTCTTGATATTATGATTGACATCTAAGTGATAAATCTATTGGCGATAATTTAGTTTAGGATGTAAAAAAATTAAGGTTAGGTAAGCACACCATTTTTTTATGTCAGTTATCTTAATAACTGTCTGACATCATTGAATGTTGTGTGATTTTAATATTTTGTTGTAACACTGACATAAAATAGTTTAGATTTATTCTGCACTTATTTATCTTTTATTTGAAATGTGTCCCGATACAGCCAATACTTTTTCCTTCAGGAAGGTTTTAGCTTTGTCATTTTGCAGTAAAAAAATTCCACTCAAAATTAATGCTGTCCAAACCCCATTAAAAAATGTGGTCCTGAAAGAGTTAAGGATTGATTTTGTTATATCTAAGCAGTGAGGGGTTAATTGTTTACGTGTACAGTTGTGAGCACCTGTCTGAGAAAACTGATATCGACATATGTGCAGCAGGTGAGCATAATGTGTGCAACATTAAGAAACTGACATTGACATAAGTGCAGCAGTTGAGCATAATATCTGCAACCTAAGGAGGTTAACCGTTTCACCCCAGTGGCGCTAAAAAGAAATGTAATGACCTGTGGGAATTCTTTAAAAATCCTTTTTAAAAAAAAAGAATTTTGCTCAGATCTCTAATAAAATTTGTAAAAACGTTATTGCTGTAATGTTTAATTTCTTGAAATATAAAAAGATATACAAGAGGAGTAAGCAATAAACATGAACAGAATGAAGCATTAAATTTAATCATCCCGTCACGCTGCATGTTGTGGGTCACCAGTTTTAGTTGACTGTCTGATCAGCTCCCTCCTGGCTGCAATTTCAGGCGTGACCACTCCTTAAATTTAATACTCGGGGCTTTAAAAATATGTGTATCGAGTGACTAATCCTGTAACCTATATCACTGAGGCATATTGGAAGATTGATGAAGTAACCTTGGCTTTTTTTCCATTAAACGGTAACCTAGGGGTTAGACACTCACCTACTGGCCTAAAAGTAGGTTTAAAATTGAATCAAGGCAGATTTTTTCTCCAAAATTGACTTTGGCTCTTAGATCAGTATAGCCTAAAATGGGTACCAGGTAATTTCCTGGAAAGTCAAGGTAGCTGGCGTGATGTTGATCACATTATCCATCGAGTGCTGATCGGTGTGTAAGAATATAGGTCTAATGCCTAATGTTCCATTGGCAGGAAAATGGTCCTTCCTGACATTTACAGTACAGTGGTGTAGTGTAGAATCTGGCATGTCATAGCTTTCATTTCCAGAAAGTTTCCTTCGAAGTCGGAGTGCATCTGCCTGAGAGGCAAGGAACCAGCAGTCTGCATACAGATCTGTCAAACGGATGCAAACGCAACACTCAGGTTCTGGAACAGGACTGCAGTCCAGAAGTGGATGAACAACCAAAACTTTCCACCAGAGTTTACAGCTGGTGAACGAGAAGAAGAAGAAGAAGATTCCCAGAAAGTTTCTTGTTTTTAAAAAGTATGAACAGCACTATAAAAATATGTGTTGATGCTGACTTCCAGTTTTATCTTCATGTGTACTTTGATCAGCCTTCAGTCTTGTAAGTCTCTTGCAAAGAAGTTCTAGTTATATTATACTCTGGTTTTCTCAGCCTGTGTCCTCATCCAATGCCAGCATCTTTTCCTCACCTGTTGATTCACTGGAATTCATTTATTTCTCTTCCTAAACCCCACATTATGGATTTTATCAGATCATTTCTCTCTATTCTGTGCTGGCACAAGTTTAAAAAGGTTTGTTGTTAATTAGTAATTATTTTAGTTGTTCTTCACGTTTCAGCTCCATGCCAGTTGTAGTGATCGACACAAGAGCTATGTATTTTTAGTTTGGTTAGCTTGTTGTGTGTGCATATGTATGTATTTATGTGTGTATGTATGCATGTTGGTGGATGTATGTTAGTTAGTTAGTTAGTTAGTTGGGTTATCATCATTGCACTCCGGACATGTCCATAGGTGCTCAGATCCTCCCCTCAGTATGAATCCCAACGTCCGATGGCTAATAGTACCAGTTCTATGTTGATTAACAAGTCTTCTGACGTGTCCGGTGTGCGTCTCGTTTTTTGCTGTGCCGATCTTAATTCCCAAGTCTGCCATTCTGGCGAGTGATGTGGATTCACTGCCACCAAAGTCCTCTATCCTTCCCATTTCTCTGAGGGCATTGATAATATCAGCATGATCCATAGGCCGACCGTCGGTAGTGATAGCGGATCCAGCCAATCTGTCAGCTCTTTCATTTCCATCGACGCCTGCGTGTCCCGGAACAAAAATAAAGGTGACTCCTCGCACAGTGGACTTCTGAATTGATTCAAGCCATTGTCTTCGCACTGAACCTGCCTGAACCCTCCGGATTGGTGGATGTATGTATGCATATGTATGTATGGATGTGTGTATGTATGCATATATGTGGGTATGTGAGTATATGTGTGATTGTAGGCATATGTGTGTGTCTGTATATGGGATTGTATGTGTATGCATGTGTATGCATGCATGTGTAGGTGTATATGTATGGAATGTTTGTGTGCATGTATGTATGTGTGTGTTTTATGTTTGTGTATGTACGTATGCATGTTGGTGCATGTATGGATGTATGTTTGTATTATTTATGCATGTAGGTGTAGCTTATGTATGTATTATGTGTGTGTATATGTATGTAGGTGTGTGTATGTATGTATTACTTATGTCTGTATATGACTTTGGTTGTGTATGCATGAGAATGTAAGAGTATGTGTACGTGTGTGTTTGAGTGTGTATGATTGTAAAATACATGATGTGTGTATGCATTACTGTATAATGTATATTTCTTTTATTATAAACGTAACATGCATTATTGATAACAAGTATTGGTACTCTGAAAGATGAGTGCTTAGAAGGGCCGAATGTCAGACGGGCCTGCCTGACCAATTTGTAACACTTTGAAAATAAAGTTTGTTTGTTTGTTCCTTTACAGGACTACCAACCTTGACATTTGTTGGCTGTTCCTCATTTTACTAGGCAGTTTTAGATTGTTTGCCATTCCTAACTAAACGGTCGGCTCTTCCTACCAGTTTCATAATCTGCGCAGAGCAGTCTACTGCCAAATAACCTGTTTCACCACATCTTTTTTTTTTTTTTTTTTTTCCTTCAGTTGTTGAACCTCCTCTTCTGCCTGCTTATTACACCACTTTACCTAACATGACTTGATTGAAGTGCTTTTGTCACTGTCGCTGTCAGTTGTTTTGGGTGTACATGTGCAGTGATTAATATGCCACACTTCTCTTTCAAACTTGCAGCATCAGAAGCTTCTTCAGACAAGAAAACAGAGAACCACATCGTTAAGATTGTAAGTTTTTTTTTTTTTTTTTTTTTTTTAATAGTTACTGTTTAGGACATTAAGCCATTTTGGCTTTACATATAGCAGCAAATAATAATTAAAAAAGAAAAAAATGGTGCCAGAAATTATATTTTAAAAAATGGGCTCTTCTTTGAATAACGGTCCTAAATTATAGAGGCTAAAAAAACAGATCCTCAGTACGTCAACTTTTGTATAATATTCAAAACTGGTATCCGAAAATTATGTGATAATTTTTGCATTTTGCGGAATTATTGCATTAAATAAATCCTACTTTTGCCGCGGTGAACTCATCGGAAAGGAATCCCCAATTTACATATGCCTGAGGCCCTGTTAGGGTATTTTCTTAGCCTCGATAATTTAGAGCTGTTATTTGGAGGAAAGCCAACAAATGGTTATATGTAAGAGACTGTTAAACAGGTGTTAGTGAGGTGGTTAAAAAAAATGGAACCAGTGTAATCATTTTTCAAAAAGATATTGCAAAAAAAAAACTTTTAGTCAAGGCAGACACCAAAGCAGTTGGCAGCTGTAAGAGCTACTACTTCCTTTTTTTTTCTTTTTTATAATTTGAAGGGAGGGGCGTCCTTAAGACAACGAAGAAAACAGTATCCATAACAACATTTAAACACTATGGTTTATGTAGTTTTAAAAAAATCTTTTTCATTCTTTCCTCCTCTTTGCTTCATTGAAGCATTTGAGGGAGATGTAAGGATATTCTGTGTGCTTTTTCCACTGTGTTGTACATCATCTTCATTCATTTAAGCCCATTCTTGTTGCTGTCATTCCATATTCTGTGTGATCTTTCCCTTGCTCTGTGTTCATTATATTTCTTTAGCATGGCTCAGTGTGGCGGTTTTTACCAGGGCATTCTCGTCAAATGACCAAACCATCACATCTGTTGCTCTTTAATAAACTGTATGACTGGTTCAGGCCTAGTATTTTAAATTCATTTGTAATTTTATCTGTTCGTGTTACTCCCATATATGTTGTTATGATTGTGCGCTCATTGTTTTTAGCTATATTATGTTCTTTCTGCAGCTTAATTTCATTCTTTCACCTTGTCCTCTACTTGTGGTCTAGTTTTATGTATTAATTTTATGATCTATGCCGTCTCTGCAATGTAGCCATATGCACTACTGTCTTCGAGAAGTTTACGGGGTGAGACTCATACTTTCACCCAAATTTCATGAAAACTTTTTTCTTCTTTAATATACTGCTGAAAAAATGAACCCTAGTACTCTGGGATCATGAAATTGGTATAGATTTATAAATTGAACACTGTTATATGCAGGTTCACCTCCAAATTTGGCAGCAGTGAGATTAAGCAGTCCTGTGCAGGGCATGACGATTCCTTGAGTGAGCCCAGAACCAGAGCGCCATGTGTCGGTTCTGCATTTATGGCAGCCTCTTTGGATGGCGTTGAATGCCCATGATCTGCCCCTGACTTTCCCTTGAGGGCGACTTGTCTGGACAGTCTCCAGGTGCAACACCTAGAGATAAAGGGACAAAGCACACCCAGATAGGGGGCCACAGCATGTCCATGTCCCATGAAACTATCCAAGGAGTTAACCCGGTCAAGAAATGCTCGATGAAGTCGTTTATATAACCCGTCTCAACTCATCTCTATGGTGGTCCTTCTCTTTCCAGTTGGTGACACCTAATGTTTTTAAGATCTGTCTGGATATTATCTCACCATCGTCTTCTTGGTCTGCCTCGTGGTCTATGACAATTCAGCTCCCTCGTGTATACAGTTTTTACCTCTCTGTCACCTGACATTCTCTCAATGTACCCCAACCACTTCAGTCTTTTAGCTCTCATGATGCCGGTGATCAACAGTGAGTTAAACAGATTAAGAAGTGCCAAACTACTGAATGTAAATTGCCTAGTAAAATCACAAATAGCCAAAAGGAAAATGCTGTGGTTGTTCCGCAATGTCCTATATAGAACACACAAATAACTTTATATTGTGAAGTTAAGGACCCTTTTCCGTGTCTTCAGGCTTGTACCCAATCAAGGCTTGGTCGATCTAAAGGCCAAGGTCAATTTGAAAAAAAAAATCTGGTTCCATCAGGACCCAAAACCCATGACCTTCTGATCCACAGGTGAGCGTCTAGCTGCTACATCACGGAGACCACCAACTTTCTGTTGTAGATGTTCTAATGATTTAAACTGACTACATAAAAACATGGCTTTCAGTGTTGCCCTTTTTGTTTTTATTTGCATATAATTTGTTTTGTGTATATAATGTAGGTTATTATTTTACAATCTTTTCAAATAGGAACCAAAGGACAATGGCCCACTGTTTTGTGAGACACATTTTTATCAGAGAGTAGCAAAGCTTGAATATAGTAAGTTTATTTTTAGTCTTGTTTTTGAATGTAAAATGTAGAAGCTACTGGCATTCAGGTGTGAAGTGTTGGGCTTTCACATATTTTTTTATTGTGATATACTTCTTCTTAGTATTCCCCAGGTGTAAACTGTTCTGGACTTTGGTTTTGTTCCTGAATTTGAGATTTGCTTGCTCATCTGTTTTACAAGTCTGGCTGACTGTTTGTTCCTCCTCTGTTAAACAGAATCTTTCTAACTTCAAAGGAAACACCCCCTAATTAGTTGACTTTTACAACATGCTTGTTAAGAGGCATTTGGTCTGTTTAGTTATTTATTTAGTCGACATTGTCGCACATGAAACCATTCAGTCCATCAGTGCTCAGATCCCTTCATCTGTACCTCCCTTAGCGTAAAGTGGCTTATGACACCACTTCTGTGTTGGCTCACTATTCTTTGGGTCTCTGTGTAGCGCTGTTGTCTGGCTCAACACCTTTTATGTTCGTGTCGTCTCATCAGTGTTGCAGATTCAATATCATTACTTGATTCGTTTAATCCAGCCGCCTCCCTGAGGGCATTCAGTATGTCAGCCCTGTCCACGTCTCTTCCATTTCCCACGTGAGCATCAGTTGCAAGTCTGTCAGCTCGTTCATTGCCCTTTACAGAAGAATACCCTGGAACAAATATAAAACTGATTTTTGTCAGCCTTGATCTATTCAGGGACTTCCCCCATTGTCTTCATGTGCAACCCTTCTCGATCTTCTTGAGCATATTCCTTGAGTCGCTGAGAAAGCAAGCCCGGGTGAAAGTTTGTGTTTTTAGCCAGGCTGTTCTTTAGTTGCTACTATGACCTTCAGAGTCAAATTGTTTGTCATCAAGGCGAAGGCACCGCAGTCTTCTTTGGTCTGTTCTTTACTCCCCTAAACTATGATATGCAAAGTGGGGTAGCTAAGTCCTTTTCTCGTAACTGTTCGTTTCTAGAAAATTCCCTGCTTCCCATTTTTAAAAGGCTGTGTTGACCCCAGGCAAATACATATTTTTTTCGGGGGGGGGGGCTCCCCTACTAGATTAATGAGTTTAAAAAAATGCTTTGTGTCTGTAATTTAACTGATTGAAATACACTAGGCTTTTCCATGTTTTATGCCACATTTATATTAATTGTACTGTTCTAAGTGGAGACTTTTCACCAGAACAACAAAGAATACCTGGTGTTGAATGAGAGTAGACTACAAGATAGACGGGAAAAAAACAGTGAGTGATAAAATACTGGCAACCTATAATACTTGGAATCGCCAGCTGGAAAGAGAAGGCCCATCACAGAGGGAAATGGAGGCAGATTATATCTGCAGCAATAAACCTCAAAGGCTTGGAATGCTGAAGAAGGGAAAGATTAATAAGCGTACTGGTTTCTTTCATTACTTGACTCATTGAGTACGAGACAACTTTTTGCCATATATTTAGTTTTAGGTAGGAGACATAACCAGTTTCGCCAGTAGAGGTACTTTGGGAGGGCAGCTACATCAGAAGACTAAGCACACTTAAGAATGCCTATTGTCCAGTATCATTGATTGTAATTAGTTAGTCTTTCCTCTTGGGCCTTGGGGCACATAGGGCGGAGGTCATAACTCTCCATATCTGGCGATTCGTTGCTACCTGCTTAAGGTCTTGGATATTTGTCAGGCCCATGGTTGAGCTTTCCCTGATGATGGTTCTATGCAGAGTCTCTTACCCTGTTTTCTTTTCCCTTTTGGTGTCCGTATGAGGGCTTGGTGGAGAAGTCTTGTCCTATCCATTCTGAATGTGTGGCCGATGTAGTTCCAGCGATTGTAATACAGTAACATAACTAGTAAAACATAACCCAGTATGCTTGTGGTATTGTGTCTGTTGGCAGCTAAGTTAAATAGCCGACCACTTGTTTTCTAATTAAATCTAGTACTACTACTGCACCAACTTTCTTTAGGATTTCATCATTTCTTATCTTTTCAAGTAAGTTACGTGCTGTTCTCAAGAATCACATTTCAGTTGTTATAATTGTTATACTTCATTCTATTTCTTTGGGCCATAAAACAATGCCAGCGTGCTAGGCCAGTTTTAAATTTCAATGCTGACTAATTATTGTGACTGTTTTAGTAAAGGTACTTATAATTACCAATAGCAGTTCGCGTTTCCTTGAAGATTAGAGATACAGCTTATGTATTTGTCTACAGTTCAAGCATTTGTCACGGAGCACAGGTTAAGGTACCTTAGCATCCCACCCTACATATCAGCTGGTCTACAGACATACAACTCCAGAGAGTATCGTTTTTTGGTGATGCCCCGATTGGGTAAAGACTTACAGAAACTGTTGCAAGAATGTGGCGGCCAGTTTCCCCCAAACACCACTTATGCTGTTGGTCTACGAATGGTAACTATGAAATAGTTTTTGTGTATATGTGTGTGCGCACTTTACTTTTCTTCTTTTTTTTTTTTTTTTGCGTTTGCCCTTAAAAGTGATTGGCTCATTGTGTTGTGCCATATCTACACTTTTGGGTCCAACACAACCACTTTCTGCAGACCCCTAATTAGTCGCCTTTTACAACAGGCTTGTTCGGGGGCAGTAGGTCTGTTCTTTTCTCAACAGAGTGGTCCCAGAGAACACACATGCGTTCACTTTTTATATCTTCCCATTCAGTAGTAAACGTTTGCTGTGCCTATTCTGGCATTGGTCACAAATGCTGCCTTCATTTCCGCTATAGTTTTTATGAGTTTTATGTCACCAGTATAGCCCCTGTAATGCTTTAAAAAAAATGGGCCATGACCTCACCAGATTACTGTAAAAAAAATGTACACAGCTTAATTTTTTTTTTCTTTAACTTTTGATTGTGTCTAGTGTCTTCACTTGTTTTATAGCTATGGAATCCTGCCATAGTTAGCCAGGCAGTTTCCATATGTTTTATGGGAAGGTGGAGTGAATTGTTGGGCATGTGATATCTGATCCTGGCACATCATTGTTTCTGCCACCCCTGTCTCAAATATTTGTGTGTGTGGCTATTTGTGTATGTGTGACTACTATAGTCATATCCTCACCTCCAATGAAATTGAACTCGGACAAAAGCATCAACTGTGCATCTCGTAAACATATCCCTGTAGGAATAGTAACATTTACAGGGATTTGGACCCAGCCAGAAGTGTTGCTTTTGTTACTTCTCGTGGCGACAGGGTTAGAATGGGCAAAATAGTGTCTCTTGTTTGTTTCCTTCAGCAACTCTGTTTTCATCCGTAGTCTTTTAGAACCTCTACATTTGGTTGTTTTTGTTTTTATATTAAAAGTGACTTACTATTCTGAACATCCACATTTCTAGAGACTCAGTCTGACTCTATGGTGAAAGGGTTTAGTTGCAATTTCTAATCCGTCAGTGATGAGTTTCTAAAGAGCATTGGTTATGGGACAGAATAGGAAGTAAACCTATGTTCATTGAAACATTTATAAATGTGATCTTGTTTTCTGCACAGGTAGATGCCCTCCAGTTTCTCCATGAGAAAGAGTATGTCCATGCAGACATCAAGGCTTCCAATATCCTCCTGGGCTATTCAAAGGGTCATGATGTTACAAATGAGGTAATACCTATGCTTCAATTATCTAAAACTTAGAGTATGTTAACCCTTTCGCTGCTGTGGATGTATTTTGACATTTGTCTGTAGACTGATAGGGATGACTTTGAGCTTCTTCCGGTTGCTGCTATGGACGTAGAAACACGATTTCAACCTCCCTTACAGACAGCTAAGGACTAATTGTCTTGGGTCAAATGGTAATAAACATTACCCAAAGTCTGATCCACTTGACCCATTTACATGCAATTAAATACCCTGTCATGTTCATTTAGGTACGTTCCACATTATCCTTTTGCTTTTTTTACCATGGCAGCATGGTTGGTGAGCTGTGTATTCTGTACCCTGAAATATATTTGTGATTTTGCATTGGTTTGCATTTTGTTTTTATAAAAAGGCAAGAAAACTGATAAAGAATTAATTAACTTTCTTTGAAAGACTGACAGTGAAGATGACTTTGACATGTATGAGTTAGGTTATCTTTACAACACTCCAGACATGTGAGCAAAACCATCTGACCGAGCCATCGACAAGAGGATAGACCACATCGGGACATGGTGAATAATCTTTTGTACTATTGGCAGACAATACAACGGTCTGTCTGTCACACTACAATGCTGGTCATATTCTCACATGTTTTTGTGTGTGATTTTCTGATATAGTGGTTTTCTTATGCACTTTACAGCTATAATGTCCTGTTTTCAACTCCCTCTCGTTTATTTAATTATTTTTTTTTTTTTACTTTTTTATTGTAAATGTGCTGCTTTTGTTAACACTTTCGAAGACAGATGACCCATATTTTTTTTTAAAAAGTGATAGCCATGGTAGAGTCAGCGATCAATTTTCGGAAAAGAGAACTGCCAACAGTTTGAACTTGTAATCCTGAATCCCGGCCCATTGTGGGGGGAAGAATCTTCATGGACCAGCTCTTTTCATTAGTGGGCAACATTTCTTGTCCCCACCTTGTAGGGAGTGAGGGAGCGGTGTATCTTCTTTGGTCAAGTTTGTGGAAAGGGGTCAGTAAGAGCCTCAGATCCACTTAGGGGCAATGACTAACATACTGCAGCACATACAGTTAGGCTCTTTCTTTAATGCTATGTTGACCTCAGTTTCTTAGAGCATTGACCACTACATTTCAGGTTTATCTTGTGGACTATGGCCTTGCTTATCGATACACTGTGGGCAGTGAACATAAAGAATACAAGGAGGATCCAAAAAGAGCTCATGATGGAACCATAGAATTTACCAGCAGAGATGCACACAAGGGTCTAGGTACTTGTCAGCATAGAATGTGTGTGTGTGTGTGTGTGCATTTTTACGGTAAAGAAAACAATAATCCTATGCCAGGTGCTGCCATAAAAAATGAGACTTTTTGGGCGTTTGCATGTACTAGGTATAGCATAATAATTTGTTTCATTACCTTTATTTTTTTACTTTTTTATCTTACAAATCTGGCTTAGGTGCTGCGAACGCGCTTCGTAATGGCAGAGTGCCGAGTTCGATCCCAGCTGCGGGCTGTGCGTTGGTTTCGACAATGGTTTCGAGAAGCTGACCACCCAGAAAGCAATGGCAAACTACTGGACGTAAAATTGCCAAGAAAAACAACAGCCCAAAAAAAGCTGGGATTGGTTCTGCAATGTCCTGTAAAGGATACGCAGCTAACTTTAACAAATCCTCGAGTCCACACAGAGCTGTAATGTCTTGGCAGGAATTCAACAGTGCTAACCAGCCATTTCATTAACCACTGCTTGCTTTCTCTGGTTTATGCCCCAGTTTGTGGTTACACATTCCAGTACTTCCAAGACTGATCGTTAAATACGTAGGTATGGTGCCCTCTCTTCTCTTACCAGCAGTTGCCAGTACTAAAACAGTTTAGTAGATGTGGAGCGACTTACAACTGTCATCTCTTTCTTAAACGCGCTGAACAAAATTCAGCTGAGGGACATTTCACAAATAAAAGATGTTATGTTATACTTTTTGTCTTAGAGTAGTAGATAAAATACCTAGCCATCTCAGAAAATGATTGATTAGTTGAGGAATCTGCTGAGTTTTAATTTCAGTGCTTTGAGTGCTCATGTTGTCTGAGCTGTTAAAGGGACTTGCACCTAATAGAGTAGAGTCTGTCCTCACAGCCAGTACCAGAATGAGGCTGGTATAGAGTCTGTCCACACAGCCAGTACCAGAATGAGGCTGGTATAGAGTCTGTCCACACAGCCAGTACCTGGGTGAGGCTGGTGTAGAGTCTGTCCTCACAGCCAGTACCAGACTGAGGCTGGTATAGAGTCTGTCCACACAGCCAGTACCTGGGTGAGGCTGGTGTAGAGTCTGTCCTCACAGCCAGTACCTGGGTGAGGCTGGTGTAGAGTCTGTCCTCACAGCCAGTACCAGGGTGAGACTGGTGTAGAGTCTGTCCTCACAGCCAGTACCAGGGTGAGGCTGGTGTAGAGTCTGTCCTCACAGCCAGTACTAGAGTGAGGCTGGTGTAGAGTCTGTCCTCACAGCCAGTACCAAGGTGAGGCTAGCATAGAGTGTCCGTACAGCCAGTGACAGAGTGAGGCTGGGGTAGAGTCTGTCCTCACAGCCAGTGACCGAGTGAGGCTAGTGTAGAGTTTGTCTTCACAGCCAGTTCCAGAATGAGGCAGGTGTAGAGTCTGTCCTCAGTCAGTACCAGAATGAGGCTGGTGTAGAGTCTGTCCTCAAAACCAGCACCATAATGAGGCTGGTGTAGAATCTGTCCTCACAGCCAGTACCAGAGTGAGGCTGGTGTAGTCTGTCCTCACAGCCAGTACCAGAGTGATGGAAAAATTATTAGCATTACATGAGACAAAGGGATAGAATAGACGCTATATAAAATAAAGACTTAACAATATCTTTAAATGAAACTTGACAAAGTACTTTATTACCTCCTTTTTATTTTCAGTTTAATATCTAACATAAGTTAAACGGAAGGAAGCGAGGAGAAATTCCATTTGTTATTTACCCCAAAGTAGGAGAAAGAGCCACTTGGATGTCTTGATTCATATTGATCAGCTCGTGATAGTAAAGAAGAAAAAGACCATCAAAAGTTAGATGGTCAGAAGCTCTTTTTTGTACTTGACTCAGTGGTGATTATACAACTGATTTGATGAAATTTCTGAATCATTGATGATACAACATAATTGTATCTATTTTAACACTGTACCTAAGCTGTTTGTTGGTACTGTAATGTGCTGATAGAATCATTGATGACCATTGGAGATTTGATTTTGTTGTTTCTTGTGTCTGTCTCTCAAGCCCCTTCAAGACGAGGCGATTTAGAGATCTTGGGATATTGCATGTTACAGTGGCTGTGCGGCAAACTCCCTTGGGAAAACAGACTCAGTGACCCTAACTATGTTGCTAAAAGTAAAGAGAGGTAGGTCAAGTTCAGCAGATTCATCACTTTACCAAAGACTATTTATATAAGCCATGTCAACTGGGAATAACTAAAGACATGTAGAGAAAGTTAAGTGCATTTGAAAACATGCTTTGAGGAACATTCAATAGGTTGAATTCAAGAAAGGTAAAGATATAAAACAAATGTCTGAATCACAACTGATATCGATAAAGTTATAAGACAAATAAATTAGGCGACATATTGGCCATATCCGGGGAAGAAGAGCGCAAAGAATCACTAAAAAGGCACTGAAATTTGAAACAGATTGAGGAAACCCTAAAATGAATGTTGAGGAGAGAGATCAAAGGTGCTTGACTGTTTTTCCATCCTTGATACCAATAGAACTGCACAAGACAGAACAACGCTGCAAGCTATGTGACATAGAAAGGCACAAAAGGATGGTGATGATATTAGTAATGAGTTTGTATGCCCAAATTTGCTTGTGCTCTAGCTAAGTTGGTAAACCAGTTGAGCTGCGACCAGATCTTGTGGTCCTAGTTCCTTGTTTGGGGATAGGCAGAAAAGCCACATATTTCCCAGATTTATGGTATCTATCATGGAATCAGGCCGAAGGGTTGAGATATCCATAGGACCGAGCCAAAGGGTTAACGACTAATGGCTTCTGGATCCCCCCAAAAATGCCCCATATTTAATATGCTAACTGGTCTGGCTCTTTTCTCCTCCAAGCTGCAGCCTGAAGGTTTGATCGCCTGGAGATTACAAATCGAAATCTTATTTAGGATGGCAAGCCAACAAGGCAAACCCCAGACATCCCATTCAACTTCAAAAGAAATTATAAATGAAGTAGCCATAGAGGTTACACAAGCCCGAAGTAGCCTGCACTTCTGTGCAAGGAAGGAATCTACCGTATTTTTTCATGTAAAAGTCATGTTTCATTTTTTTAAAAAAAATTCCTATTTGTAAGACAATATGTTTTCCTAAATTTTTTAATTCCAAATTGGGGGTCGTCTTGGATTGTAATCAGAATATTTATTTCTTCATTTAGGCTCGAAAAGTAAGGGGCATTTTACTCAGAGCACTTTACACTGCTTGTGATTTTTTTTTTTTTTTTTTTTTTTTTTTTTTTTTTTTTTTTTTTTTTTAGCTTTCTTTGGAATAACTCTGCTGGTATTTATTCAGGTCAAGATTATTTTCCCTGAGTGTTTATTTAGTCATGCATGTGACCTTCTTATTCTGGAAACCAATGTTGAGAGTTCCTTCATTCTGGAAATGTCTGGCTTTAGGTTTTTGAGATGCACACAAGTTTTTCAGACTCCCGACAAAGAATGTTTTCTAAATAGCAATTTTTGTTTTACCATTGTTTTTATCTGGCTGTGAGTTTTCTGCCTGAAGGTTTGTTTTTATCTGGCTGTGAGTTTTCTACCTGAAGGTTTGTTTTTATCTGGCTGTGAGTTTTCTGCCTGCATGGAGATACAATTCATTTGTGGATCCAACAAGAAGAATCTTGATCCCTTTTCAGCCTGTCAAAACAAAAGTTTGTAATTAGAAGTAGTTGTGGGGGGGGGGGGGGGGGGGGGGGTTAGTGTGTGAAATACAAGAAGTCACTAACAAAGAACTAAGAATAATGGTAGGCATAAGACAGATAAATGATTTTAAAAAACATGATTGTATGAAATGATTTGGTCATCTTGTCCGAAAATGACCAAATCAGTGGACTACAAGGCAAGAGGCCAACCAAGAAAGAGACACTACAGAAATACAGTATGACATTAATTAACATGAGCTACACAACTAGCAAACAGACAGAAAACTACGTCTAACCATCTCCTCGGTGCTTTATGACACAAGCATTAGACAAAACAAAAAGAACAGAATTAGAGTAAAGAGTATTATTTTCTATCACAAGTGTTTCCTCTGCCGATTGCTTCATACCTAGGTTTAGTCCCATATTAATGTTTTGTGTTTAGCATATGATGTTTACTTCTGTATTGTTACCATACATTTATTTTAATATTTGAAGACGTCGGTTTTTATTATAATTGGAAATTTTTGTTATATTTTAATTTTTCAGTTTTATGGACAGTTTATCTGCTCAGCTGACCAAATGTCTTCCTGACAGCCCTCCTCATTCAGGTAACCTGTATTTGTATTTTATTAATAAGGTCATCATCAAGTTTTATCTGTGTTCGCCAGAGACATTTTTGTTGTTGCTTGAGACCTAATTGCTTATGCCTGTTTACAGTAAATTGAGATATTTGCATCTTTATACCAAAACGTCTGATTGCTTGTCACTTCACTGAAGTTAGCACAGCTCATTCATTATTGATAATTTAATAATATGAATTCAAATATGGTTGAGAATGAAGTAACCTTAAAGGTTACAAGAGAAGGCAGAAAAGGATAAAAGAAAAAGTAGAAGAGTTCAAGCTGTGTGCAGCAGATGCAACAAAAGAATATTTGGAAAATTCTGGAAACTTCACAGGCAGATACAAATTTCTGACTATAATGATAGATGACTGCAATATGTCCTTCTGTTAAACTATTTTCCTTGTCTGTCAAGACAAGATCTGCGTTCAGCCCCCCAAAGTGGCCAGTGGCCACTGTATGACCAGTGCGGCTCTGAATCTGACCCAGCTTCATAAAATGGATACCATAATTTTTTTTTAGCGTTTGAGGAAATACCGGGGGTGGGGCAGCGAGGAAGGACACTGGCCATTCCACCTCATTTGCCACCGCCTAAAATATGCAACGGCCTAACAGTCTTCATTGCAGTGGCAGTAGCTACCTTAAAAAAATGGGTAGTAGGAAATATTCTGGGACACAAAGGCAGCGAGTGTGATAAAAGCCTTATAACATTGAGTGCTGATGTGGAAGAAAGTTTACACTGACGGAAAGAGGAGAAAATAGATAAAAATTAGGATGCACTTGGTATAGTATTAGCATGTCGACTCTTTATTGGGTGCTGAAAAGAGCTAGAGCACATCTGGGGGTGTCTCGATTGCAGTGATGTCAGTTCTTGAACCATTCATTCATTTATTGCCGATTCATAATCATCAGTTTCTACTCTGGGCATTCAGCCACATGGGGAAGAACAAATTGCTGTCCAGCTCGTGATGGATAGCACTGGCGGTTGTCATTTCTTATGAATATCAAATGCTTTTATCAGTCCATCTTTTCTCTGAGTGTGGGCTCCAGAACAGGGTGGGGAATAGACTCACTGACCCCCTGACAAGCATGGAAAAACAGTTCTTTACTTTGATGTTGAAATTGTTTTTATTATTAGTTATAATTGTTATTGTGTTTTGCCCAGACTGTATGCAGAAATACTTTCAACTTGTGAACAAACTACAGTATCATTCCACGCCTAACTACGACCGGATCAGAGAGATCTTCAAACATGGCTTGACCATATCAGGCCAGAAAAATGAGTGGATTATAGAATTTACACAAAAGGTAAGCCTACAACATTTCAAGGGATATAGGCCACGCGATGAGCGCTTTCTGTGTGAAGACTTCAGTGGATTATCTATAGATGGGGACGATCATAGTGACGGATCGCTGTCTTCATATTGTCCATCATCCTGTGAATCAAAGCATCCAGTGAAACCAAACATTTCTAATTTTGCCAGATGGGCACTCTCTTCTTCTTTAGAAAACTATGACTTTTATCAGCTAATCATCACCATTTCATTGACTATCCTTGCTTTGTACGTTTTAGTATGCATTCTGAACCTAATTTTTTACTGAGCAGATTAATAAAGCCGCCATAAAATTACTCACCTCTTTAAACACATTCTGGATTGTTCTCTTCCACTTTCTTTTCCTCCAGTGGAGTGTGGGACCTCTACCAGTTTTTTTTTTTTTTTTAAGATAATTGTATGTCCTTTACAGCAGTGGTTCTCAAATTTTCTAAAGTGGCGACCCTTTAATACAGTTCCTCATGTTGTGGTGACCCTTTAATACAGTTCCTCATGTTGTGGCGACCCTTTAATACAGTTCCTCATGTTGTGGCGACCCTTTAATACAGTTCCTCATGTTGTGGCGACCCTTTAATACAGTTCCTCATGTTGTGGCGACCCTTTAATACAGTTCCTCATGTTGTGGCGACCCTTTAATACAGTTTCCTCATGTTGTGGCGACCCTTTAATACAGTTCCTCATGTTGTGGCGACCCTTTAATACAGTTCCTCATGTTGTGGCGACCCTTTAATACAGTTCCTCATGTTGTCGCGACCCTTTAAAACAGTTCCTCATTATGTGGTGACCCTTTAATACAGTTCCTCATGTTGTGGCGACCCTTTAATACAGTTCCTCATGTTGTGGCGACCCTTTAATACAGTTCCTCATGTTGTGGCGACCCTTTAATACAGTTCCTCATGTTGTGGCGACCCTTTAATACAGTTTCTCATGTTGTCACGACCCTTTAATACAGTTCCTCATGATGTGGTGACCCTTTAATACAGTTCCTCATGTTGTGGCGACCCTTTAATACAGTTCCTCATGTTGTGGCGACCCTTTAATACAGTTCCTCATGTTGTGGCGACCCTTTAATACAGTTTCTCATGTTGTCGCGACCCTTTAATACAGTTCCTCATGTTGTGGCGACCCTTTAATACGGTTCCTCATGTTGTGGCGACCCTTTAATACAGTTCCTCATGTTGTGGCGACCCTTTAATACAGTTCCTCATGTTGTGGTGACCCTTTAATACAGTTCCTCATGTTGTGGCGACCCTTTAATACAGTTTCTCATGTTGTCGCGACCCTTTAATACAGTTCCTCATGTTGTGGCGACCCTTTAATACAGTTTCTCATGTTGTCGCGACCCTTTAATACAGTTTCTCATGTTGTCGCGACCCTTTAATACGGTTCCTCATGTTGTGGTGACCCTTTAATACGTTTCCTCATGTTGTGGTGACCCTTTAATACAGTTTCTCATGTTGTCGCGACCCTTTAATACTGTTTCTCATTTTGTGGCGACCCTTTAATACGGTTCCTCATGTTGTGGCAACCCTTTAATACGGTTCCTCATGTTGTGGCGACCCTTTAATACGGTTTCTCATGTTGTGGCGACCCTTTAATACAGTTCATGTTGTGGCGACCCTTTAATACAGTTCCTCATGTTGTGGTGACCCTTTAATACAGTTTCTCATTTTGTGGCGACCCTTTGATACAGTTCCTCATGTTGTGGTGACCCTTTAATACAGTTTCTCATTTTGTGGTGACCCTTTAATACAGTTCCTCATGTTGTGGCGACCCTTTAATGCAGTTTCTCATGTTGTCGCGACTCTTTAATACAGTTCCTCATGTTGTGGCGACCCTTTAATACAATTTCTCATGTTGTGGTGACCCTTTAATACGGTTCCTCATGAAGTTGCGACCCTTTAATACGGTTCCTCATGTTGTGGCGACCCTTTAATACGGTTCCTCATGTTGTGGCGACCCTTTAATACGGTTCCTCATGTTGTGGCGACCCTTTAATACGGTTCCTCATGTTGTGGCGACCCTTTAATACGGTTCCTCATGTTGTGGCGACCCTTTAATACATTTCCTTATGTTGTGGCGACCCTTTAATACAGTTTCTCATTTTGTGGCGACCCTTTAATACAGTTCCTCATGTTGTGGTGACCCTTTAATACAGTTTCTCATGTTGTGGTGACCCTTTAATACAGTTTCTCATTTTGTGGTGACCCTTTAATACAGTTTCTCATTTTGTGGCGACCCTTTAATACAGTTTCTCATTTTGTGGCGTCCCTTTAATACAGTTTCTCGCGTTGTGATGACCCTTTAATACAGCTCCTCATGTTGTGGTGACCCTTTAATACAGCTCCTCATGTTGTGGTTACCCCCAACCATACAATTTTTTTCATTGCTACTTCATAACTTCAACGAATATGTGTTTTCCGTTGGTCTTTGGCAACCCCTGTAAAAGGGATGATTGACCCACAAAAGGGTCGTGACCCACAGGTTGAGAACCACTGCTGTACAGGATGTTGCAGAAACAGACCCATTTTTTTCTCTCTTGGCAGTTTTACTTTCAGTTTTCTATTGCTTGCTGAACACCACTGTCGAAACCAAAGCAAGGTGGTCTGCTGCCAAATCCCCTGCTGTCAAAAGTCATCATATTCTTTGCTGTCACTTGTAGCTCTACTTTTCTCCTCCCCATCTTTTTAACTTTACTCTGTGATTCTCTTCATGTCTTTTTTTTTTAATCTTTGTCCGTTTTTGCGCTCATCATTTTTAATCATCTGCCTTTATTCTGTTGACCCTGAGGGTTCCAGTGCATAAACATTCTAGTTATACTGTTATCAGAGTTTCTCAAAGTGTGTCATATCCACTGCTAGCGTTTTGTCCTCACCTCTTTATTTACTGGAATTTTTCAGAATTTCTCAAAGATCTGCATGTTTTTTTCTGTGAGTGGCACCAAATTTTAATATATTTTTCAACTATGAATGCTTCTTAAGGACCATGAAGAAAATCGTGGATAGAAAAGAAGATCACATATTGTTTAAGAAATTTATAGATTTGGCACCATTTTCCCAAATGCCTCAGTGGCAGGAAAAGCTCCCTTTACAACTCATTGGCATGAAAAGTGGTTCTTTACACACTTAAAGGTCATGGAGGAGCTGCGACACAACATGTGGCAACACCCAGTAGACCTGACAACTAAGCATTGGAGAAATCTGTGAGACCTCGAGAACAGCGGGAATTTAATATGTGACAATCAGAAATGCAGAGCTTAGATAGAGAATTAAAAAATTCTGGCAAGTATTTGGTGAGAGCTCAACACTGGATAAAGAAAACATTTGGAGGTAGCCTGAAAACAATATATAACTTGAATCATCTTTCATCTTTCACTGGAACCCACAGGGATAAAGAGACAGTAAAGGTCCCTTTCCACGCTTTTAGCCAAATGAGGCAAAACTCATATTTTTATACACCAATCAGCCCTTCGACGAGTGATGTGGTTCAACATGTGGTACCCATTTACGGCTGGGTCGAGCTGGGAGCGAAGGTCATGTGTGGAGAAAATAATCCAGCTCCATGCAGACTTGAACCCGCAACCTTTAGATCGGCAGGCCAAAGAGAGAGTGTGACCTCAAACTAGGCGCCCCCCCCCCCCCCCCCAAAAGAGGATTACCCATAAAGGTGAATAGTACTGGGGACTGGTATTGATTTGCAGATAAATACCAATCCTTTCTTTCCCCCCCCCCCCCCCCCCCCCTTTTTTTTTCAACTTTAAATACACACTGGGACAAAGCAGGAATTGGTTGAAGGCCTACACTGTAATCAAGATTATAGGAACAGTGTAGGGCAGATTTCAGTGGGCACATTTACTTTCCCAGGATCTCAGGTACTCATTTAATGAAGCAGGTTGGGCATTACCAGGTCTGCTGTGTTAGTAAGCAGCTACACTAGTTACTACACCACCATGGTTCCCTGCAAATAATCAGGACTTTATTTTGTTTTTCCTTTTTTTTTTTTTTTTTTTTTTTTTTTTTTTTTTTTTTTTTTTTTTAAATTTTAAAATAAGTGGTACGTGTTTTTGTCTTGCAAAATCTGTCCACTTTTTATTACAGAACAGCGTTTGACTGTGTAGATCGAGTTTGAGATAAGCATATGCCAGTTCAAAATATGGCATATAGGCTCTGGAGCATGTTACATATATTAGGATTATTTAAATCCACTGATGTAATTGTTTAAGGAAAGAAAATTTTGGTTGTGCAGAAACAAAAAAAACTTGACAGGAAAATTAAGGTAAAGTCTTGCCTTGAAATTCCCTATGTGGGTTCCGGGGCCCCGTTGTGGGGAAAACAAGAATAGACTCTCTGACTTCCTAACAAGCATGTCGTAGGAGTCATCTAATTGGGGACATCCTTTGAAGTCAGAGCTCATCTGCCTGCGAGGCAAGGAACCACAAGTCCGCATAAAAATTAGCCAGATCTGTGAAACGGATGTGCACGCAGCACTCAGGCTCTGGAACAATACCAAAGTCAGGAGATGGACGAATATCCAGAGCTTTCTGCTGGAGTTTACAGATAGTGGACACAAAGAAGAATTGCCTTGAAATGAATATTGTTGCCCTACAGCTTGACTTGTTTTAGCTACTTTACCACTGCCTCCTAAGTTTAACTTGGCATCTTGTCAATTTTTTTCACCACACAAGCATGTGTTCTGCATTCACCCTGACAAGAGCTGATGGCACAGTGTATTGTGGTTTGCAGCTAGGCTGCGATAGCAGTACCTTTTAGCCCAAAACATTTGATTTCAACATTTTCTTAATTGGTCACCTTTTTGTTTGGGAGCTTTTTTTTTTTTAACTTGCAAAAATGTGGCTCTGCAGCCAGAAGGGGGAGATGGGCTGTGTTACTGTAAATCAACTTGTTGCGTAAACTTAAGGTTCTAAAAGGATTAGAAAAGGTTTGTAATTGTTTCGGTTGCTTTTTTTTTTTTAAT